TGTCGTCCTAACTCCCCAGCGGCAGTGCAAGTTACAGGGAGCTGAAGGTGTCGTCCTTCCTCCCCAGCGGCAGTGCGAATTCCAGGGGGCCGAAGGTGTCGTCCTTCCTCCCCAGCGGCAGTGCGAATTCCAGGGGGCCGAAGGTGTCGTCCTTTCCCCCCAACAGCAGTGTGTCCTACAGGGAGCAGAGACAGTTGGTCTCTCTCTCCAGCAGCAGGACAATGTTATGGGAGTGGAGACAGGCGGTCTCCCTCTCCAGCGGCAGCCTGTGTTTCAGGGAGAGGAGCACAGCACCCTATCTCCCCAGCGGCAGCTTACCCTACAAAGGGGAGACACCAATCTCCCAGATGGCGCAGAGGGGACCGTGGTCTCTGTGCCCGACCTACAGGGATGCTGGACAGCCTGTCCAGATCCCCAACTACCCTCACAGGGACAACAGGAGGAGGGGGTAAGTACGAATTCCCCGCCCCAGCTAACTCCTAACTTGGCCCCAGGGTTAACAGGGGAGATGTTAACCCCCACTGACCCCCACGTTCCCCTGGCTACTGAGCCATACTATGTCCCAAGCCCCCCAGCGGAAGAGCTGGCAGCTGGGCAGAGTGCAGTCGGCCTCTTCCCTCCCTTTGTCCCTTGTCCAGAGCCTGATGTCCTGCAGGCTATACCAGCAGAAGAGCTGGCATCAGGGCAGACCGCCCCTGGCCTCTGCCCTACCGATCCCCTTGTCACAGGACTGGCCTGCACCCCCCTCCTCCCAGCAGAAGCGCTGGCATCAGGCCTCTGCCCCTCAAGTCCCCACAGCGTGTTGCCCCATCACCCCAGAGGAATACCCAGGTGCAGTCACTGTTTGCTGTGGGTGGGCTGCTCTAATAACTGTTTGTTGTGGGTGGGCTACTCTGGCACTTGCGTATGGTCGGTGGGTGAATCGACTAACTTAGGCACTGACCGACAGAAAGTCAGGTACCTGGTTAGTCTTCCCCCCGAAGGGGAGATATGTGACGAAGTGCCCTTCGCCACTTGGTACTGGAGAGGCCTGCTTGCCAGCCTCCTCCCCTGTGACTATGACTCTTTGATGTATTTGCCTTTAGAGCCCCTATTCTACCTTCAGACAGACTATTTATGTAGGCTGCTTTATTTATCTTATGTTTTAGTCACCCTGTACCCATTATAGGTGCAGGGTGTGTGTAATGTAATTGTTTATAGTGTGTGTGTGTGTGTACTGTGTAATGTATTACCTGCTCTCTTGTATTGCTGAGGTTTGCTACCAACTAGGTGGGTTTGGCTATGGAGCTTGTCTAGTGCCCTCTGTTGGTAGCAACAGCAATATGCACTACCTGAATTGCAAGACTGGTTCATTTGCATATTCGGGTAGATTTGCATATTGCTAATTCTACAGGCAGGTGAGATATTTACTGTTAAATATTGTCTCCCCCCACCCCTTTAAAAAATGTGCCATTGTGTTGTGATAAGTCACTGTGTGTTTCTTGATATGGTTTGACTGTTTGTGATTTTATTGAGGTTTCACAACAATGTTATTGTGGTGACTGTATTGGCTGGTCCCAAGGGAATAAAGGTTTTGACAGTTTTTCTTGATCCCTCTAAATGTAGCCTTGTCTCGTTATTGGAGGGAGCTGTTATAATCACACTGGGGATTGTTATGCTCTGCATGCTCCCCTGAGCTTGAGTCGCTTAGCTCTTTTAAGAGCTTGTTCCTGACACGCTCTCCTTGGAGGAGGGGTCTTCACCACACAGTCCTGATGCTGAGGTCTCGTACAGGGTGGAAGGGAAGAGTTCTTTTCCACACAGTCCTGGAGGACAAAGCGGACTGTGGGTGGAAGGGAAGATCACAGACTCCAGTCAAGATATCGCGGGTTATGGTGTTCGCTGCAGCGCCGTCCCTCAGGAAGCGTTAGGAGCACCGGTCAACGGAGGGTGTACCGTCGAGACAAGGAGCCTGGGGATAAAACATTTTTAGATACATAAATGAGAAAAGAAAAGTAAAACAAGGATTAGTTAGATTAAAAACAAAAGAAGGAAGGTATGTAGAAGAGGATAAAGGTCAGGCTGACTGCCTCAATGAATATTTTTGTTCTGTATTTACACATGAAAATGAAGGAAAGGGACCTCAGTTGAGAAAAAAAGGATAAATGAGTCATTTATTACACGTGAGTTTACAGAGGAAGAGGTTCTATTTCAACTGTCAAAAGTAAAGACAAATAAGTCAATGGGACCTGATGGAATACACCCAAAGCTATTAAAGGAGCTTAGTGGTGTACTAGCAAAACCATTAACAGATTTATTTAACCAATCATTGTTATTGCAGAAGGTCTTGATGGTAAGGTATGTCTTTTTGCTGATGATACTAAGATATGTAACAGGGTTGATGTTCCAGGAGGGATAAGCCAAATGACAAATGATTTAGGTAAACTAGAAAAATGGACAGAATTGTGGCAACTGA